GTCATATGGCTGTCCAATGGTGTATCTCTCAAGTAGCGCCCTAGCAGCGCAACTCCATGTTGAGCGGTGTCAATATCGATCCAACCACGGAGCAACCATGGGCCAGCTACCTCCCTGCATAGCTAAGTCTCAAGCTGTCGAGCCCTCCTTGTCACAGTGCATTTTTTTGCTCAGTGAGCTGATTGTGTATCTCCCCACACATCAGTCCAGATGCCATGTACCTAACGACGGTGCAGCCACGGTACAGCCGTATAGCACAATCACGTCACAACCAGAAGCCGACGGAGGTATACCTGCGTGGGACAACCGCACGGCCGCTGCGGCGGCCACGGGGGGGAGCCTTCTGGTAGTATACGCCCGACACGAACCGAACTCGGTTTCCAACTGGGAGCAGTATGGTTCACTTCGATCTCACCCCCCCTTCCCCCCGATCTATGACGTCATCTAGGGATCCTGTTATCTAGCCGCCTAACTGTTTATATGCTTTCCCAGCGACCTATTATCACATCTGCACGTCAAATTCTTCACGCTTCGCGTTTCCCTACCAGATCGTTCGGAAACCCTGCCCATGAGAGCTGAAGGGAGAAGGAACGAAGAGACACGCATATGGAGAGCCAAAGCGGCCAACCAGGATAAACAGAAAGATCTCTGGGAGCAAGCGGGTGGCCGGGCCTCTTCGGACCATCCTTGGGGCCCGCGGGAGGGCGAGGGGAGGAGGAGGAGGAGGAGGAGGAGGAGGAGGAGGAGGAGGAGGAGGAGGAGGAGGCAAACCGCCTCTCTTGGGGCCCTCGTGGGACGCTCTTCGGGCGCTCTTGAGGCCATCTTGGGGCCGTCTTGGGGCCGTCTTGGGGCCCTCTTGGGGCTCTCTTGGGGCTCTCCTGGGAGCCCCGGAGGGCCTCCTGGGGCCATCGTGCAGGCCATCGATCAAAACGGGGGGTCCCCGATTTGCCTCCCCCTCGCAAGCCCTTAAGACCATCTCTTGGATCCCTCTTGGGGCGCTCTTGGTGCCGTCTGGGGGGCCCCTTGGGCTCCTCTTGGCTTTCTTAGGCCATATTGGGCCCATCGTGAGGCATCAACAGCGCATGGAAAGCGAAAAGGCGAGAAGGCGACCATCATTGATTCTCTTTTGGCTGTTGAAGGATTTGGTCCTCTTGAGAGGAGCCTTCGAGGGCTCCAGGAAAACTTGGAGCGGCCTTGCAGCGGTCTTTGGGACCTCTTGGAGCATGTTAGAAGCCGTCTTGAGCCATTGTTGGCTGGATTTAGCCATCGTAGAGTCCATCGTAGAGCATCGGACGACTTCTTGGAGCCTTCGTGGGCCATCTTGGGCGCCCTGACAGCTCGCGATCCTCCCTCCCAAAGAAAAAACTCAGGGAGGGGAGGGGAGGGGAGGGGGTTTTCGAAGAGGAAATAATGATATCGTTCGGCCACCTACGCACAGAGGGCTGGTGATATTATATCGCGATCCCTCTAACCACGGGGCAGCCACGTGTCAACGATGCACATACGGTTCGTACGGTACCCAGTCAACTCTCCAAAGTTCTATCTCTCATGCTCTCTACCTTGTGCCTCTAGCGAGTCGGTTGCATATTTCCCTACCTAACGGTCTGACTGTCTAATAAGTTCTTAAATGCATCGCACGATCAGTTTAATGGTGGGACAGCCGCGAGACAACCACGTGGGATAACTGCGCCACAACCATCGAACAACGGTGGACACCCAAGGGACAAGGACGAACCAATCTCAAGACAATCAGCGGGCAACGCGACAGGCACGGGCGAGACAATTGGATGTGGCATGCCCCAAGCTGGGGTAGGTTCTGCCTCGTCCTCGCGCAACTTCGGCTGGCGCACACGCGCGACACGAACCGATGCCGAAGTGATTGCTAGGGGCGCTCCGTTTCGCTTCCGTCTCGCCACCCAACCTCCGATATTCGAAGCCAGAGCTCATTAGTGATGCGTCTTGTTGCGGTGTCGGTCCCGATCTTGCGGCAATTCTCAGGTCTGAGGGTTGATGCAGTTTCGCATGCAAGTGGGTATTGGTTTGCCGATCTGCGGCCGACTGGGAGTTGTTGTATGTTGCACCTCTGCCTCCCTCCTGCCCCCTTCCTGCCCCTTGTTATCCCCCACCCCTCCACAATTACTCAATATGAATACTACTCTCCCTCTTCCCCCGATGGCGGCCTGAAAGTAGCCGACCCCCCCCGCGTATTGTTTTTTACACAGGATTCCCGGGAGTTGGGTTTTCGCCTGCGTTTTTTTTTCAAAATGCTGCTCTCGCTGAGGCGCCGGCCTCATTTCCGCTCTCGAATCGTTCCGAATCGTGCTCCCGCTGCAGCGTGGGCCTCATTTTCGGATCGGTGTTTGGCCTCCGTCGTTCAGGATGACGTTCTCGCCCCAGCGCGGGCCTCTTTCTCGCGCGCCCATCCGCCCGCCACCACCGCGCCGCACCACCACCACCACACCACCACCACCACCACCACCAGCACCACACCACACCACCACCACCACCACCACCACCACCACCACCACAACCACACACACACGCACGCACGCACGCACGCGCACCACCACCCACTACGCACGCGCGCGCGGAGCCACAGGTCCGCTACGACACGCGTCCGCGGATAGAGAAAATCAGCGCCATGGTAAGGGATGGGAGGGAGGGGTAAGACGTCAGATATGACGCGAGCGCACCTAGCTTGTCCTCCCCTCCCCTCCATCTCCCCCCACTTCCCTTCTCTCTCCCTCCCTCTCCCCTCCGCCCATCTACAATTACTCAATATGAATATACTCTCCCTCTTCCCCTGATGGCGTCCGGGTGATAGCCGCGCGCCCTCCGCGTACTGTTTTTTTACACACAGGATGCCCGGGAAATCCCGGGAAACGACTCGCTGGGGCGCCGGCGTCATTTTTGCCCAAAATGCTGCTCTCGTTGAGGCGCCAGCCTCATTTCTGCTCCCGAATCGTTCCGAATCGTGCTCCCGCTGCAGCGTGGGCCTCATTTTCGGATCGGTGTTTGGCCTCCGTCGTTCAGGATGGCGTTCTCGCCCCAGCGCGGGCCTCTTTCTCGCGCGCCCATCCGCCCGCCACCACCGCGCCGCACCGCCACCACCACACCACACCACCCACACCACACCACAACCACCACCAGCACCAGCACCAACACACCACCACCAGCACCACCACCACCACACACACCACCACCACCATCACCATCACACCACCACACCACCACCACACACCACCACCACCACCACCACCACTACCACCACCACCACCCACCACCACCACCACCACCACCACACCACCACCACCACCCACTACACACCACCACCACCACCACCACCACCACCACCACCACACCACCACCACCACCACCACCACCACCACCACCAGCACCAGCACCAGTACCACACACCACCACCAGCACCACACCACCACCAGCACCACACCACACCATCACCACACACACCACACCACCACCACCCACCAGCACCACCACCACCACCATCACCACACCACACCACCACCACCACCACCACCACCACCACCACCACCACCACCACACCACCACCACCACCACCACCACCACCACCACCACCACCACCACCCACCACCACCACCACCACGACAACCACGCACACACGCACGCACGCACGCACGTGCACCACCACCCACTACGCACGCGCGCGCGGAGCCACAGGTCCGCTACGACACGCGTCCGCGGATAGAGAAAATCAGCGCCATGGTAAGGGATGGGAGGGAGGGGCAGGACGTCAGATATGACGCGAGCGCACCTAGCTTGCCTCCCCCCTCTCCCCTCGTTCCCCTCCCCCCCTTCTCCTCTCCCTCTCCCCATCCAACCCGTCCTTCCCCTCCCCCTTCTCCCCCCTTTCCCTCTCCCCCTCACCCCTTCTTTCCCCTCCCTCGCCTCCCCTTCCCCTCCCCTCCCCTCCCCTCTCCCTCCGGGGCCTTGCTTGGAGAGGTCCAGAGATGGGCTTTTCGTGAGAGCGCCCTCCGCGACACCGCTGGCCTGGGAGTCTCTGCTCCCGGTCCTCGGAGGGCGAAGGATGGGCGAGTCGAGGTCCCGTGTCCTCGCGCTCCCAGGGGCCACGATGGCTGACGCGAGTGCGCCGACAGTTCCTCCACAACGGCGCCACCCGCATGCGGTCCACGATGCCAATGTGAGGGACGCAAACAAAACACGGGGGGTCGTCTGCGCCGACACTGGCGTCAGTTGCCCGCGTAGGGTCGCACGTGCGCGCCCTCGTCTCCAATGCAGCGTGCCGCGCAGGCGGCCCGCGGAAGCAGCAGCGCAGGGTCGCCGGGATGATCTGTCGCGAGGCCTGCTCTCGGCGTCGCGCAGATGGCCGACCCCACGAGCGACTCCCTCCGTGGCGCCTCCTGCGGCGGTGCGGTCTGGCCGCCCCTCCTGGCGGCGTGGCCGCGCGGCGCGGCCACCGGGCCCGCCTGCCGCGAGCTCCCTGCTGCCCGCTCCTCCTCGCTGCGTTGCCGCTCCTGCTCCCGCCCCGCTGCCTCCCCCCCTCGTCCCCCTGCGCTCTCGCACATCGGGTCGGGCGACGAGACCTGTCCCTGTGCAAAAGCCGTCTTGGCCAAGCCAGGAGGGCGTTGCGCATACACCGCTGATGGGTTCAGGATGGGTCCGGCCAGGGAACAGTGGATGTGTACAGGTGTCGTCGCCGTATCGGAGGAGTGCCATGCCCCTGCCCCCCTACCCCCTGCCCCCCCCCCATGCGCTCTCGCCCCCCTGCCCCTCCCCGTCCCCCTCCCCCTGCGCTCTCGCCCTGCTCCTGTCTCGCTCCCGTCCCTGCCCCTGCCCCTCCCCCCTTCCCCTGCGCTGTCGCTCTGTGCTCGTTCCCCACTTGTGGAATGCCATCGCCGCCACGGCTGGATCCGCCGCGGACTTCCTGGTCAGCGCGCACCATAGGAGAAATCCGAGGAGTGGCGGTGTCGGTACCTTCTTGTTCCCCCAGCATTTGTAGCCGTCTCGGCTCATGGCCACGCCGGCTCGAGGCCCAGGTGCCACCTAGGCTTCCGCGACCTGCGTCGCCGCCAGGCACGCTGTCGCCTCCCGATCGGCGCCCCGGGGGCAGCATGGCCGCCGCGGAGAGCAAGTACAAGAGGCGGCTAGCCGAGATCGCCGAGGATGATAAGCCACCCGAACTCGACCCTGACGAAGACAACAACTATCAGGACTACGTGTCCATCAAGACCCGCAAGGCGATGCGCAAGGAGAAGCTCACGAGCGTGAGGCAGCGAGAGCGCAAGGAGGAGGTGGAGAAGGTGATCCACGAAACGATTCAGGCAGAGAAGAAGCGCCGTGGCGTGGCCAACTCGCTCCTGGCAGTTTCGCAGAAGCTGCGACAAGAGGAAGAGCTGAATCGCGAATCGCGGGAAGAAGCCGAAGTGGAAGCTATCCAGAAAGAGGAGGAGAACATTTTAGATCAGGTGCAGATGCAGATGAGCACCCCGTTAATGTCTGTGAGAGAGCGTGCCAAGGGCATCGTGTATACAGAGCGTATGCCTTCCATTGGTGGTTGGCGTCCTCTGAAGAAGTACCGCGATATGCCCGAGGAAGAACGCGCGGCGATCCGGGAAAAGTTCTTCATTGAGACCAACGGCGAGGACATTCCAGCCCCTATCAAGAAGTTCGAGGAGATGCGCTTGCCGCGGGGTTTGCTCGAGGGTCTCAAGCTGAAGGGTATCCAGCGGCCGACGCAGATTCAGATGCAGGGAATCCCCGCAGCATTGATGGGGCGTGACTTGATAGGAATCGCATTCACTGGCAGTGGAAAGACGTTGGTGTTTGGTATTCCGATGATCCTGTGCTCGCTGGAGCAGGAGATCCGATCCAGAGTGCAGAGCTCTGAGGGCCCCTATGGTTTGATTATCGCTCCCTCGCGCGAGCTGGCCCATCAGACGTACGAGGTGATAGAGTTCTACACGGACCAGCTGGTGGAGCACCACAAGGAGTTCCCGAAGCTGAGGACCGTGCTCACGATCGGAGGCCTGAGCACAGGAACGCAGGCCGGGGCACTGCGGCGAGGCGTCCACATGGTCGTGGCCACTCCAGGACGCCTCAACGACCTGCTGAACAAGAAGAAGTTTTCAATGGCGCAGTGCCAGTATCTCTGCATGGATGAGGCGGACCGTATGGTAGACCTGGGCTTCGAAGAAGAGATCCGCAACACTCTGGATTGCTTTCGAGGCCAGCGCCAGACATTGCTCTTCAGCGCCACGATGCCCAAGAAGATCCAGGACTTTGCAAAGACAGCGCTCGTCGACCCGATTGTCATCAACGTGGGCCGAGCCGGCGCGGCTAACTTGGACGTTATCCAGGAGGTCGAGTACGTGAAGCAGGAGGCCAAGCTGGTTTACTTGCTGAAGTGCCTCCAGAAGACGCCGCCGCCCGTGCTGATCTTCTGCGAAAACAAGTCAGACGTCGACGATGTGCACGAGTACTTGCTCCTCAAGGCCGCCCCTGTCTCGCCCACGTCCCCTGCCCTCCCTCCTCCTCCTCCTCCTCCTCCTCCTCCTCCTCCTCCTCCTCCTCCTCCTCCTCCTCCTCCTCCTCCTCCTCCTCCTCCTCCTCCTCCTCCCCCAGTCGATGACGCTCGCAAGGGGCCCGCTGTCCCTCGGGTCCTTCCGCGGCTGTTCTTCTGGCCCTCCTCGTGCACGCAGGCGCTCTGGGTGCCAGAGGGGGGCTTCTTCGCTCCTCGTGTCTCGTGTGCCTGCTGGCAGCGGCTTGGCTGTGGCCGCTCGTCTTGGGCACCGAGCAGCCGGCGCACCGGCGCGGCAAGGCGCCTCCCCCATCCATACCCCCATCATCCTTCGCCCGCTCCTCCTCCCGCACCTCCTGCATCCTCGTCCATTTGCTACTGTTCCTCCTCCCTGCTGCCTGCTTCTCCGCCTCCACCTCCCTGTGTTTCTGAGGGCGCGAGCAGGGTGTCCCCAGTCCACTTCTTGCGGACTCGTCCCGAGTTCGCCGAGATCGTGGACCACGATCCCAAGAAGGAGGAGGAGGCAGAGGAGGAGAATGGAGGAGGGAAAGGGGATACGGTGTGGTCGAAGAGGGAGAAGGGAAGGGAACAGCAAGCAAGGCGCGCTCGCGCCACGTCTGATATCCTACCCCTTCCACCCGTCCCATCCCGTTGCGCTGAATTCTTTTTGTATCCGCTGGCTGGGGTGCCCGATGTTACCCTGAGCCCCCATATGACCACATCGTGTGATGGGTGAGCAGCAGGATGCGCAGGAGGAAGAGCAGGATGATGAGGAAGGGAGAGCAGCAGGAGTAGGAGGAGCAGGAGAACCAGGAGAAGGCGGAGGAGGGAGAAGGAGCGGGACGGCAACGACGAGGATCGAATCGGATTCAGAAGTGTGGCTCGCGCTAGGGCGAGAGCGCAAGTCAGAACGACGGGAGCGGGGGAGGGAAAAGCAGGAGGGCGGTAACGCCGAGCAGTGAGTCGTATTCATAAGTGTGGCTCGCACAGGAACAAGAGCGCAATTTTGAACGACGGGAGCAAAGCGCCGATCTTGAAATAAGGCTAACCCTACAACGGTAAACTCATGTTTGAAGGATCGAAAACGGTCTGATTCAAACAACACAAGAGGGAACCGATGTGTGCAATCCTGCGTTTGTGTGTGGAGAGAGAGAGAGAGAGAGAGAGAGAGCGATTGTAAATGCAGAAGGGGGTGGCGCACCTGCGCTGCACAACTCAGTATCGAGGGAGGGAGGAGAGTGACACTCGTGTTGCGCGATTTGCTGAGCAAGGAGGAGGGAGAGATGAGGAGACTGAGGGTGTGTTGAGAATTCGGTGAAGGAGAAAAGGCGGAGAATTCGGTGTATTGCGGGGGGGGGGAAAGAGAGAGAGAGAGAGAGAGATATTGACCTATGTATATGTGTATGTATGTTCATGTATAAGTATACAAGACTGCACTGGCGCTTCACGCCGTGCACCTTGGTCATGGAAGTCTGGGCACGCAGGCGGAAGGGCAGGAAGGTGAAACCTAATATTTAGCGTTAACTCCTTGTTGCCCTGTCCGACATCGTCGATATAACAATTCTATGTGTCATCCTTCCCTCATGTTTCTTGGGGCCTTATAGAGGCCTCCTGTGTTCCTTCCGGGGGCCTCTGGGGGCTTCCTCGGGCCACCTTGCTTGCAAACGAGGTTTCCCTGAACGAGCGGGTCACGATTTGAAATGCTACGGGGGACATTTTGGGGCCATCCTGGGCCATCATGGGGCTCTCTCCAGGCCATCTTGGGGCCCCGCTGGGCCGTCTCAGGGCTCTTTTGGACTGCCCGGGAGCCCTTTTAGATAGTTTTGGGGCGATTCTTGGGCCTCCTGGGCGGTCTCGGACGCCCGTAAGATTGAAGAACAGATCATTCCCAAAAACACACAGACACACACAAGAAACCAATGGGAAAGCAATGTTTTGCTGTCTTTCGAAAGCCTCTTGGAGGTCTTCTCTGGGTTGTCTTCAGGCGTCTGGTGGGTGTCTGCGGCCTCTGGGACTCTCGCGGGGCCGTTCGGCCGCCCTCCTGACCGATTTGGGCCCGTTGCCTGGGCCCAGCAGGGGCTTCAGGAGCCCCGGAAAGCACGGGGAACCCTCTGCAGGGGCGGCCAGGGGGCCCCCAGGACCACGGATCGGGGAGGTCCCGTTTTGGTTGGGGGATCGCTCCCCCCCCAGATGGTAAAAATAAAGGACATAGCTTTGTTTTACATACATACATACACATATACATACATCAAGAGAGAGAAAGAGAGAGAGAGAGAGAGAGAGAGAGAAAGAGAGAGAGAGAGAGAGAGAAACAAAGCAAATAAGCAAACAAATATATAATACAGGAGCGTGAAGGGAAGAGAGGAAAGAAGAGAATATACTATAATCGAAGAGAAGAGAAGAGAGGAGAAGAGAGGAGAAGAGAGGAGAAGAGAAGAGAAGAGAAGATAGGAGAAGGGAGGAGAAGAGAGGAGAAGAGAGGAGAAGCGAAGAGAAGAGAAGAGAAGAGAAGAGAAGAGAAGAGAAGAGAAGAAGGGGCGGAGAGGAGCGGAGAGGAGAGAACACGAGAGGGCGCTCACTCTGCCGCGGGCGCCCGTGAGGCCGCAGAGGCACCCGCCCCTTTGCCTCGTGCCTGCTCCTACACAAGCCAGCGCTGCGGCGACCCCCTGGGGGGGGGGGGGGGGGGGGCAGAGGGCGCGCCCCTCTGCCCCCCCCGGGGGTCGGCACGGGCGCTCCACGGGCCTGCGCGGTTCGATGGGGCCCCGCACCCCCGCGCGACGCCGAGACGAGGCAGCGGGGCCCCCGGGGGCAGCGGGAGCGCCCCTCGGGCCCCCCCCCCCCGGGGGGCGGCACGGGCGCTCCCCGGGCCTGCGCGGCTCGCGGGGCCCCGCCCCCCCCCCGCTCGGCGAGGCGGCGAGGCGGCGCACAGTCGGGGCGCTGAGGAAGGAGCCCTTCTCTCGCTGGGGAGGGGCCCTCGGTGTGCCCTGACTGTGCCACACGCTGCCTCGGGTTTTGCCCGAGGGTTTTTTTTCCCTGGGAAGTCGAAGTTTGACTCGTGGGAAAAAGGAGGCATTCGGTCACCGCCCCTTATGGGGCTATGCAGGGCCTCGCTGACCTATAGGGACCTCTTTGGGGCTCCTCGGGTCAACGCCCCGGCTGTGTGGCCACGGCGGGCGGCGCGGGGCAGCGGGGGGGGCGCCTCGCCGTGCCTCCGGCGGCGCGCGCAGGCTTGCGTCGGGCATGTCCCTCGGCAGGAGGAGTCGTCCACAACAGTAAAACCGTAGTCTGGGGGCGATGTTTTGACTACTGATGGTATACTTTTGACTATTGTTGATTCGTTGTCACTTTTGGAATGCTTTTTATCACTGCTGACTATTGTTATACTTTTGGGCTTTTAGACTGAAGTCGGGCATGTCCCTCTACAGAAGGATCATGAAAAGATGGTCAAAAAGTAGTCTGGGGACGATGCTCCGATTATCTGTTGACTATTTCTGCGTGTTTTCGAATATTTCTCATTTCTCTCCCCAAAATCCGCCTGCAGGAGGGCATGCCCGACCTGACTGAAGACGTCAGGCTCGTCACCGTCGGGGTGGGGCGGGTCGTCCAGTTGCGGCTCCCCCGCGTGGGCCGCGAGCCGCCCCGTGGGGCGCGAAGTGCCAGGGCGCAGCTCTCCGTATGCGGCTCCTGGCGGCTGCGCGCGCGCGCCAGGCCATCGGCACTGAAGCGGAGGGTGCCGGGCCTCGTGCTCGTGTGTGTCGGCGGCCCTCGAGCGCGTCGCTGCCTCGAGGGTGGCGCCCAGAGCACGCGCGCGTGCCCCCGTGCAGGGGGAGCCGCTTGGGCGCGGAAGTGGCTCATTCGGAGGAGGAGGAGGAGGAGGAGGAGGAGGAGGAGGAGGAGGACGAGGAGGAGGAGGACGACGACGAGGACAAGGACAAGGACGAGGACGAGGAGGACGAGGAGGAGGAAGAGGAGGACGAGGAGGAGGACGAAGAGGAGGAGGAGGAGGAGGAGGCGGAGAAGGCGAAGGGGGAGGCGGAGGCGATGGCGGTGGCGGTGGGGTGGCGGAGGCAGATGCGGAAGTGGAGGAGCAGGATGAGAAATCATAATGACATTATTAGTCCGAAGAAGAAGAAGAAGAAACATAATGATAATACTAATACGAACTTATAATAAGAAGATGAATGCGATTACTAATAATAAGGATACTACTATTACTACTACTACTACTACTACTACTAATAATAATAATAATGATAGTAGTAATAATACTACTATTATTATTAATAATAATAATGATGCTACTGGTAATAATAATAATAATAATAATAATAAGACTAAACAGAAGAAGAGGAAAGGGGGAAAGCGTGAGGGACTGCACTTGAGACGCTGGGATTACGTACGCACGCATCACATGGGTGTCGCGACAGCCAGTGTGAAACATGAAAGCGGGAGTCGTGGTGACGATGCGAACGCCACGTGACGGCGGTCCAGCAATGCGGCTGGTGCCACGGCGAGAGCTACTCTGAACGACGGAAGCTGTGTGTCGATCTATGCGTGTGGCCAGCGCTGCAGCCAGATTGCCAGACCGATCGACTGTAAACGTTCCGATTGGAACAAAGCCTGCAACAAGCAACACAGATGTTTGAAACCTTGTGTTGGACATGCACTGCGCGAGAGTGGCGGGACAATGCGCTGGTGGGGCTGAGAGAGAGAGAGAGAGAGAGAGAGAGAGAGAGAGCGATTCCATAAAGAGAGTAGCAGCCATTATTACGAGTTGTAGACAGGACAAGACAGAGGAGAGAGGACACCGACGGGATGAGGGAGGGGAGGAAGAGGAGGAGGAGGAGGAGGAGGAGGAGGAGGAGGAGGAGGGGGAGGAGGAGGAGGAGGAGGAGAGGGAGGAAGAGGAAGAGGAGCAGGAGGAGGAGGAGGGGGAGGGACGGTTGGCGGGAGGGGGCGACAAGCACCAGGAGGGGATGGAGGGCCCGGGGGGGGGATAGCGAGGAGGAGGGCCAGGGTCGCTGGCCCGCGCGTGTTGTCTCCCGCCGAGGGCGTGGAGGTCGTGGCGATCCACGGCGGCCTGGACCAGGAGGAGAGGCACGAGGCGATCAAGTCCTTCAAGGAGGGTACGAAGGACGTCCTCATAGGCACGGACGTGGCCTCGAAGGGGTTGGACTTCCCAGCGATCCAGCACGTGATCAACTTCGACATGCCCAAGGAGATCGAGAACTACGTGCACCGCATCGGGCGTACGGGTCGCTGCGGGCGCACTGGCGTGGCCACCACGTTCGTCAACAAGAACCAGGAGGAGACCATCCTTCTGGATCTCAAGGCCCTTCTTCTTGAGGCAGGGCAGAACGTGCCGCCATTCCTCATGCAATTGGATTCGGTCGCCGACGTGCATAATGTTCAGGAGATCGGTGGAGTCAAGGGATGCGCCTATTGTGGCGGTCTTGGGCACCGTATTGCGAATTGCCCCAAGCTGGAGAACACACGGCAGAAGACGGCGTCGGGCCAGAAGGACTACATCCTCACCACAGGAGGCAGGTTCGGAGGCACCGAAGGCTACGCCGGCGACTGGTAAGCACTGTGCGCCGCAGCTGCGCAAGTGAGAGGATACATGTTGCCTACTCTTGTGTCTTGCCTCGATCGACGTGTCGCGGCAGCACTGCCTCGCGCCAGCTGGGGTAAGGCAAAATTGATTAGAGGTCCCTTCTCGTCGTCGTCTGGTCCTCGGCGGCCGTCTGCCAGCTTTCCTCTTTGACCTCCTCCTGCTCGGCCTCCTCCGCCATCCTCGCTCGCGTCCTCTACGCGGCTTCACAGAGGAGGAGGAGGTGGAGTAGGAAATAGAAGGGGTTGGACGAGGAGGGGATGATGATGATGATGATGATGCTGCTGCTGCTGCTGCTGCTGATGATGATGATGATGATAATGGTGGTGGTGGTGATGATGATGATGATGATGATGCTGATGCTGATGATGATGATGCTGATGATGATGATGATGATGATGATGATGGTGGTGATGGTGATGGTGATGGTGATGGTGATGGTGATGGTGATGGTGATGGTGGTGATGGTGATGGTGATGGTGATGGCGATGATGATGCTGATGCTGATGATGATGATGAGGAGGAGGAGGAGCAGGAGGAGGAGATCGTGGGAAGAGGAGGCGGTAGGATGTGGGAGGTAGGAGGATCCATGTGCAGGCAAGAGGATGCAGGAATAATAAGAGAAGGTAGCGGGAGGTGGGAGGAGGTATGAGGTGGACATTGGATGTAGGAGGACAGCGCACGAAGATGGGAAGGAAATGATTGTGGTGGAGGATGGGGACAGGGTCTATCACTAAGCGTTTCGTTTTGAGTGAAGGCGCATAAAAGATCTGTGTGCCGACCAGGTGGATGACATGGCCAAGCTACTGCTGCAGCATGTCGAACATCAGCATCCACGGGTTCGCTTCATGGCCCTACATGCAATCGGCCAGATGTCAAATGACCAGAAGCCCACATTCCAGGAAGCGTGGCACAGCACCTTCATGCCTGTATTTGTGACGCGCTTAGCGGTCTGTGCCCGTGCAATCGGGCATAGTGTTTGCGCGCCCGTGTGACATGCGGTAGGTGAGTTTGTGATCACCCCAACTCTTTTCCCCTTCCTTCCCCCGCCGCCTCCGCCTGGCATCCTCATACTTGTGCGCGTCCTCGTCCTCGTCGTCCTTCTTTTGCCAATGATTTCGGGCGTAGCCCAAGTTCTTATGTCGAGGGGCACCTGACTCATTGATTGTTAGAAGGCGGCTTTAAGTTTGGGCGGCCGAGTTCGCAGCATATGGCGACACACGTTCAGAGCATGTGCGCAACATATGCTGCAAGCAGTGGCGCAACCCATAACGCAATACGTGGCGCAACCCATGACGCAACCTCCCATGACGCAGCTTATCAGAGCGCAAAATTTGACGCAGCCCAGTGCGACGAACCTGTGTGCAAAATATGTGGCGCAACCTACAGCGCAATATGTGGCGCAACCTGCGGCGCAACCCATGGTGACGAGCAGATGGCGACACGTATGGCGCTTCCTACAGCGTAACCGATGGGGCAACCGACGGTGCAACCTATGGCGCGAGCACGACGACGAGTTCGAACAGGCGGGCGAGACTCACAACAGCCTGCTCTCGCCGCTTCTGGATGGCCACGCACGACTTGTGCCCGCCGTTTGGGCTGCTCAGCGCCGGAAGGCAATCAACGAATGATCTTTTGATCATTCTCCTCCCCTTGCTCTATATCTTTACCCTTTCTCCTCCCTCCTTTCCCCTCCCTCCGCCCCACCTCCTCCACCATCCTTTCTATCCCCCTCTCCTCCCTGCTCCACGAAGGTGGCGCCTCTCTGCTCCTGACGCTCTCTTGCCTGCCGCCCGTGCTCTCCACCTCTCCTCTGCCCCCTTCCCGCGTCCAGGGGACAACTGCGCAGATCCACCCTGTTCCTCCCCTCCTTCCTTGTACAGGAAGGGGAGCACGATCCGAGGAAGAGGGGGAAGGAGTCGGAAGCAGGCGGACTACAGCGGGGGCCCATGCCAAGAGCCCTGCTTGCCTCCAGGGTGCCCTGGGCTTCTTGGGTTTCGATCGTCTTGCGGTGAAGAGCGCGACGTTCCCACACTAGAAACCAGTGGACGTCCTGGGGTCTCAGGGCTGGGTCTCTCGTGGAAGGTTTCTTGTGGTCGGGCCTCCGCTGTGTGTAGACATGTTCGGCTCCCCCGTCCTGGGCTCCGGTCGGGGTCTGCCTCGGCGGCTCGGCCGTGGGGGTCTCCTGTTTGGACCGCGGTCGGCCGTGTCGCAGTGGAGTTCCCATCGGCTCTAGCTGTGGCTACCTCCGCTCGGCCCGCGGGAGAGAGCGAGACGATGATGATATCCTCCGCCTCCTCCTCTTCCTCCTCCTCCTCCTCCTCCTTGTCCTCCTCCTCCTTGTCCTCCTTCTCCACCTCCTACTCCTCCTCGTGTCCTCGTAATGGTGATGATGCTGATGCTGCTGCTGCTGCTGCTGCTGATGATGAAGATGATGATGATGATGATGATGATGATGATGATGATGATGATGATGATGATGATGATGATGATGATGATGATGATGATGATGATGATGATGATGATGATGATGATGATGCTGATGATGATGATGATGATGATGATGATGATGGTGATGGTGATGATGATGATGCTGGTGCCGGTGCTGATGCCGATGCTGATGCTGCTGCTGCTGCTGATGATGATGATGATGATGATGATGATGCTGTTGCTGCTGCTGATGATGCTGCTGCTGGTGATGATGATGATGATGACGCTGATGATGATAATGATGATGATGATGATGATGCTGATGCTGATGCTGATGCTGATGATGATAATGATGCTGATGATGATGATGATGATGATGATGATGATGATGATGATGATGATGATGATGATGATGATGATGATGATGATGATGATGAGGGGGCGGGGGTAATCATGGGACATTCTGCTTTCGCCCTGGATCCCAACCCGCGGTCGCCCCGCGAGATGTCCAGAAATTCGTCGGAATCTTTGGAAGCCCTTCCTCTCCGAGCTTCGAGGCTCGGGGGGGAGAACCGTGCGGAGAAGACGGTGCAGGAGCGGGGTGAGGGTGGGGGAGGAAGGCGGGGAGGACGAGGAGGGCGAGAGCGAGGGCGACGGGTCACGGATGATGACCATCGGTGGCGACGAGGACCAGGACGCTCGGCGCACGTTGGCATGAAGAGCGCATGCCTTGATTGGATGTGGCTGCCGAGGCTAGTGCCACCTCCGGCATGTCTGTACCGTTCCGCTGCTCGTATGCGTGCTCGAGCGGGGGACGAGCCGGGAGTTTAGCATGGCGAGTTTTTCGGGGTGGCAACGGCCCATGACCCCAACTGACTCATCCTCCAGAGCGGTACGCTTCAGCCTAGGGGTGCTTAACCGATAGCCCTCAAAGCCATCAGTTTGATGATAACAGCCATACAGAAGTGGAGCAGCGGCCTGTGAGGTCAGTGAGGCTGTGGTGTCGTCTCCACAAGAGTTCCCATAGGCGGGGAAGCCGCATTCCAATATCTTCATGGGCTTTTGAACGACGATTCAGATCGAGACCCTGACTTCTAAGATGGGGAAGGGTCAGAGACCGTAGCCAATTATGGCTCAAGCTCTCTGAAGGCCCGCGAGGGCTGGGGGGCACCTGTGTCAGCCCCCCTCCCATCTCCCTCCTCCTCACATCTCCTCCTCCTCCTCCTCCTCCTCCTCCTCCTCCCTTCCGTAGCCACTTTGGCTTACGATGCAAGGTTTCCCAGGGGACCCAGTGGAGGCCACTATTCCGAGGCTAGACCCCACGGTAACGTCCACAAGATCCCTTCAGTGAGCTGCCCAGCGCCTGAGGGTCAGTTCCCACTCCCAGTGTTTCTTCAGGGCACCCGCGGCCGCGAGTGAATTGAGACATCTCCAGTTCCTGTGGTTCGCAGGTGCTGATATCGGCTGCGACGGGAACTACCCGTGTCTTTCATGCTCTCGAGGACGCGGAGCCAAGAAGATCGCGAACCAGAAAAAAAAACATGACCGTGGCACCAGGTGGTTTGAGCTTAGCGAGTCTCAGGAGAAGCACACAGAAGCCGCTCCTGTCAAGAACGTGATGCCATCCGTGAAGGCCGTGATCACGTCCGAGGTCGCAGTCGCACGTTGTCCTACAAATCTCCAGTTCCGAGCATGGAGACAGACTCCACGCGTGGGGGGCACAGCGGTTCCAACGACTACAGCTTCTGATAACCCGCTTGATGTTCCGATGTGGTTGTCCGAACTCACGTCCACGGTTCGGGAGAGCAGCAGCTCAATCGCTAGGCTTGAGCAGAACATGCAGCAACACATTCATCAGGTAAGGACCGCGCTGACCACCCACGATACCCACGTTAGGTCCAGGAACGACGGGCTCATCGCAGTGGGGGCCAAATGGTCGACCATCAACAGCATCGAGCCCGCGGTCAGCGAAGCCATCAACACGCAGACTGGCGCCATCCAGAGGCAGTTCAGCGCCTTCCATCACCAGCAAACCTCCGATCATCGCACACCTCCACATCCGGGTGCTCAGCCTCAGGATCCTCCTGCAGGCCCGCCATCTGACCGTTGTCGGCGCTGGATTGGTACTAGCCCTCGCTCTCTCACACATGCTCAGAGAAAAGGTTAACTGGGACGCGATGGGCGCGCCCAGGCTCACCCAGGAGAGTTTGGACAGCGCTAGCATGACCATCTCGCGAGCTGCACCATCTTATTATAGTTTCCCGTCGAAAGGTCTTGCCAGCAGGCTCGGTACCCTGACACCCGATCGCAACATCGGCTGTCTACCCCGGGGACCGGCAGCACCACGTCATCGAAGTGCGTCTGACTTGCCCACGGACGCCCGCCAACCTCAGCGCGCTGCCTCCGTGATCTGGTCGGGCACACCAGACCTCCTCAAGCAGGGCGGCACGTCGCTCACCAACTGAAAGCTCGGCTGCAATGGCTTTCAAGGCTCAGTCCACCTCAGCGGCAAGGATGACGTCTACGAGCTCTAGTCGGTCCGTAGCACAGCTGGGATGGATTGCGCGTTCGGGCCCAAACCCGAGAATTTATAGGCTGGGCATGTGTCGGCCAGGGACGTCATTGACTTGCTGGCGTCCATGAACTTGGCCAAGGGCCCCGAACGGGACCACCTTCATCCTGCCTGCGCTGCACTGGGCGCCGTCTTGAACGGCAGCGGCGGCGAGGCATCGGGTTCGGCGACGGGGGGTCGGAAATCTTCTCGTAAAAGCTCGCAACAAACATGCCCAACGCTTCCTAAGACAGAACATCCTCTGCTTTGATCTAACCAGCCCCCCGAGGGCCCTGCACAGCCTCAGCCATTCACTTTCCGTGCCCCCCCTCCTCTGGCCCACATTCCATCTGCTCTTGGAACGCCCATGCGTCATGTGGAAGCGCGTGGGCCTCTCGCGAGTTGCAGCTTAAAAACCTGGGGCCATTACAGTTTAAAGTGCCTGATGCGCCACGTCACTGACATATGTATTTTTCGCAAGTCTCATGAGTGTTCTGGTCATGCATGAGAGCCTCAGCGGAGGTGCCCCAACTTCAAGATCTTAGGTTCCTGCTGCGACTCTGAAGCTGCTGGAGTGATCCTGATTATCGCGCGTGGCAAGTTAGCTTCGTACTTCTCGGACTCTGCTGATTTTGAGGTGGTCTCTGGGCGTGACCTCGCACCCTCAGCGCAAAGGCTCCCGCGGCTCCCTTGCGGCCCCCAGCCTCCGCCTGGGCTTCGACATCGCCCTAGCGCAGTAGAAACTGCATCTCGGGATTCTTTCGAGTACTCGGCAAAGCTTATCTCGTGCGAAATGGATCCTGGGCGGGGGCTTCAACTTCCTCGAGGAAAGAGAAGGCAGACTACTCGCCAGTGATGGCCGCGTCAAGCCGACGCGGGGCCACGCGGCCAGATTCGTCAACGCAGCATACCTTCATCCGGCCGAAATCTATCAGCCCTTGTCTACCCGAGAAGCGCCCGTCCAGGACAGGGTCGTCTCCATGGGGCGCTTGGACAGGATTTGCTTCCCGCCGCTCCAGTTGAATTCATGGACCTCCGGCCAATTATTCGATGTTTGGAGTATAGTTCGCGACGGTCTTCCTAGCGACCACGCCCCAGTTACCTGCGACCCCCTATCAGATTCACCATTAGAGACGGGGGGCTAAGCATCCCCAGGTGGATTGCGAAATCTCGGGGGTTTCCCGCGTAAGTCAAGGCTCTCCAAGGAGAAATCGACCCATCCCTGGGTCCCCCCCGCCGCGGTTCAGGAATGCAAAGTCATCGTGCGCGTGGCCTCTCGCAGGGCCAAGTTTCAGGCCGAGCTGCGCAGGCTTCAATCGATCGAAGCAGAGCGCGCCTGGATGCTCGCGCTCGCCTGTGCTCGCAGGATGCAAACCAGGACGTTGCTAGTCGCGCCTGGCTTTCTTTCCCGGTCTCAGCGATTTCTGCAGTTGGCAGGGCGTGCAGTGGCGCTGTCTGGGGATTGTTCCAGCGAGTTAGCTCACCAATGTCTGGCTGCCGCGCGCGCGGCAGGAGGCGCAGTGGCGGGCAATTTTCGCGTCCGCCCGGCTTCGAAAGTGCAGAAGCTGACTTGGTTTTGCGAGCGGGCCGCTGCCTGGGCCCCTAATCATCGCGAGGTCCACCTCCGCTCCATCGCCTACGAGTCCCCCGATGCCTCCGCCCGTGCTCTGCCTCTCTATTGGGGCCAAGTCTGTCGGCGTCGCGAGGTCGACGCCAGCCATTTTGAAGCCCTCGATCCATTCACCCAGTTTACGGCAGGGGAGATGAATTGAAAGGTTTCGGGTGGGGAGATTCCAGGAGATGATGCTGAGGCTGGAGGGCTACGCGCCAGGTGTCGACGGGGTCTCATTTTAGATTGAAGGGGCGGAAGGCCCGCGTGTTCGGCGGTGCTCTATCGGCATTGCCAGTTCGTCCTCGACCGAGGCCAGCACCCTGGATTTATAGAGAGTCTGGCCGCGTTCCTCCCCGGAGGCGACCCTGGAGGTGAATCTCGGGTCCAGAGCAGGCGCCCCTCCCTAACCCGCCCTCTCACCCGCGACAACGCCGACAATGAGATCGTCGCGAAAGCCCCGCGCATTCCTCCCGCGACCGTTGCCGATGCGGCTTGCGCCGGCGCGCAGAGGGCTTCTGCCTGGCAGGCAGGGCCTCGACTGCGCGGGCGACATCGACGCCCGCCTCGCCGTCATGAACGATTTCGGGGCCGAGTTTGACTGCGATGCGCGCGTCCTGGACACTCGGCGAGCGCCCCCCAGCCTCGACCGCCCTTGGTGGGAAAGCGCCGTGGACAAGATGGGGTCCCAGGGAACATTCGGGGCGCGATCGAGACGCTTGGTGACAAGGTTGGGTTTTCATCCAGTTTCGCGGCCCCGCGGACCGCTGGTTCTCCATGGGAGGAGGCGTGGAGCAGGGGTGCCCCTTATCGGGGGTCTTCTCGGGATCTGCGCGCGCCAGGTCCACGGGTGCCGTTCCAGTCTCGCCGGCCCATCGCGCGCTCCAGCGAAATCTACCCACGGCTACGCCGACGACCTGGCGGTCGTCGCCAGGGACTTCTTTTCCTCGCTGCCCACTGTGCTCAGAGAGATGAAGAAGGTTGCTCCTGAGACTGGTTTGGTCGCGCGCCCCTCCGAAACCGCGATCGCCATTCCGCGGCAGTTTGAGCTTTCGGAGATCAGGGGCAAGTTTCAAAAACACGGGCTGAAGGTTGATAGGTTCCAGGCCGCGCATCCTGGGAAGTACATCGTGATAACCATTGTCATTGGTGCCCCTGCTCAGTCGCGATTTAAACCTACCGCCACCCAGAGACAGCGGGGCATCCAGCTGTAGGGTGCGAACCTTTCCTTTGCTCAGAAGGTGCTCGCCCACAACGCGTTTGCGCCTCCAGTCGCAGGCCGCGTGGCCCAAGTTCATCTTCCCTTTGTTGCTGCCAGCCGCGTTGAACATTGCGTGCTCCAGAGCATGACCCGAGGGTCACTGGGCACAATCTTGAGAAAGATGCTGCGCCAGTTGAGAGATTCCGGTTTTGAGCGCGAGTTTCGGCGCCTCTGCATCCACGTTCGCGCTGCTGCCCGCCGCGTTGCCATAGAGAGTGAAGCCTTCCATCGTGCCTAGCAGGAGTTCATACATTTCCATCCCCGAGAGCGACACTTTTGTGGTTGCCCATCTACGGTGGAAGCTTTTCCATTCCCCACTGTTGTCTACCTCCAGGAGGTGCTCGGTGAATCCTGTCGGTTCATGCTGGTCCGAGGGGAGCCCGTCGCGCGCGGGATCCAGGCCGACGAACAGATTGCCAGATGACGAGGGACAACAGGTCCAGTCGCATGTCCTTCCTGGGACCCAGGTCACGGAAATGATGCTCTGACTACCCCGGCTCCGTCACCCTCCGTACGTTTACCCGTGTTAACACGATCGCCTCCAAGCTCCCTCCCCATGGGTTTGCCTTTACCAGTAAAGCAATTCGGGATGGGTGGAATACGCCGGCGAGATATAGAACTGGTTCTGCGGTCTGTAAAAGGGCTGTCGGTGTGAGTACGGAGATCAGATGCTGCATTGCCTACGTTGTGAACTAACTTTTTTTCAGCATGCTGTGAATGTCCTCCTCCCCCTCTTGCCTAGCTTCTGGGCCTCTGGAAACCCTGATTGCGTTGTCCTTTGTCCCCCGTTGTATTTTTCCAGGGACGATGTGTAGTATCTGTTTTTGCTTTTGATCCCAGCTTTTCGACGTTCATATTCGTCCGCGGGCCTTTTTTACAGTAGTTCTATCCGAAATATAGCTTTTAGTCCGCGCGAGAGCTGCTGCTGCCTCCTCGGCCGCGGCTAGTCGATTCTTCCAAGGCCAGGCCAGCTGACGAACCACTATGCGGAATTGGACGTTCCTGTTCCGCCTTCTCCCCCTCTTCCTCGTCCTCCCCCTCCTCCCCCTTTCCTCCCCCGAGTGTTTCTCCCCTCTTCTTGCTCCTCCTCCCTCTCTCCTCCTCCGTCGGTTTTCCTGATACGCAACGCATCCCTGTCGCAGCCCCAAACGTGTCGGTGGGACGTCCGGGGCGTTTTGCCTGAAATTTCTCATTGCTTGTGATCCGGAAGTCTGAGACTTATAACATGTTCGCGGTGGGGGTGGCGTTTTGACAATGGTGCAATTGCTTTGCCTCCACGCAGATTCGTTTTCAAGGCTTGCCACCGTTTCACGGATGGAAGGCGGTTCCTTTTCAATGCGGAGTTCTCTTTTTGGCGACGCGCGCGTCGGATCAGAATTCTTATAACAATTTAAAGGATGGGGGGTAGGTTTTTTTTCAACATGGCGTTTTCGCTTGATACCACCTGAAATACAACGACCAGAAAGTGGAACATGTGTAACAGTTGCACGGATCCAAGGCGGGTCCTTTTTAATCAAATTGGGGCTCTCGCTGTCTAGACTTCTCCATCGGGTCCCGCAATGAACTGGGCGGTTTGCAGGATCGTCGTTGACGCTTCCTGGATGTACTCTTCTCCTCCTCCTCCTCCTCCTCCTCCTCCTCCTCCTCCTCCTCCCTCTTCTTCTCCTCCTCCTCCTCCTCCTCCTCCTCCTCCTCCGTCTCTCTCTCTCTCTCTCTCTGTTTCTGTCTGTCTGCCTTTCTGTATGCCTGCCTGCCTCTCTCTCTCTCTCTCTCTTTTTCTCTCTCTCTCTCTCTCTATCCCTCTATCTGCCTGCCTGCCTCTCTGCCTCTCTCGCTCTCTCTTTCTGTCCGTCTCTCTTTCTCACCGTCTCTCCCTCTCTCTCTGTTTATTTCATCTCTTCCTCTCTCTATCCCCCTCTCCCTCTCCCTCTCCCTCTCTCTCTCTCTCTCTCTTCGATGTGTTTAGATCTGTGTAAACATACCTATATATATAGATAATTATACATATACAAGATGTTACCGGCTCGCTGCGCTTCGCCTTTGAAATCTTGGTCGCATGGCGTCAGGGAGGCGCGATGAGATCGGTTGTCGTCACAGCCGCGGTGTGTTCTGGCCAAGACCATGGAGCAAACAGGGCTGATAGGACCCAGGGAATATTGCGGCTCAAAGGGCCCAGAAGGGGTCTCTGCTGTCATGGGGCCCAAGGGCTCGGAGCTCCCATTTTTAGGCGAGGGGTAATGCTGCCGATGCGGCTCCAGGGGGTCATGAGACTCGCAGGGCTCACAGGGCTCATAGGGGTTCGTTGGGGTCATGGGACTGTTTGTGCACATCGGGCACGGGGCTCATCAGCTCTTGGGGGGCCATTGGGCTCATAGAGCTCGCAATGCTCCGGGGGGCCATAGGGCCCATAGCGCTAACAGGGCGCGTAGGCCTCGCGGGGCTCATGGGGCCGATTGGGGTGAAGGGGCAAGTCGGGGCCATAGGGCTCATATGGCCCATGGGCCGTATACGGCATACGGCTCACTGGGCTCGTAGGGCTCAGAGGGGGTCTCGTGGGTCTCGCAAGGCTTCACGGCTCCTAGTGCTGAGGGGGTTCTAGGGCTCATAGGGCGCATAGGCCTCATAAGGGGTCATCGCGCTCATATGGTGTCATGGAGGGTCGGGGGGGGGGTATGGGGCTCGGCTCATTGAGTTCATGGGGCTCCTGGGGCTCGTGAGCTCATAAAGGTCACGGGGCTTCTAGTGCTCATAGGCCTCAAAGGGCTCATCAGGCTCATGGGGCTCATGAAGCTCGGAGAGCTCATGGGCTCGTAGGGCTCCTAAGGCTCATTGGGCTCTTAGGGCTCTTTGGAGTAATAGGGTTCGTGGGGGTCATAGGGCTCATGGGGCCCATAGGGCTCACAGAGCTCGTAGGGTTCATAGGGCCCATAGGGCTCATACGGCTCATGGGCTCGTAGCTCGTAGGGCTTGTAGGGCTCATTGGGTTCATGGTCGGGTTTGGATGGTGGATATTCTTCCTTCTCGTCCAGCCTCTTCCTGTTTCCCTCCTCCTCCCTCCTTCGACCTCCTTGCTCCTTCTCCTCTCCTTGTGTGCCTCTGCCCCATGGGAGCGGGCTTCACCTGCAGCTCTGAGTGGAGGATTCGCAGTGGGGTACCTTCGGCCGTCTCGTGGCCCTCATGGGGCCCTTGTGATCCGTCTTCCTGGGAGGATCCGCAGAACGCTACATCACCACATGTGTGCCGAATGTCCCCTCACATGGACCGCACCCCACAGGGAGCTCCACCGACGGTGAAGAGCCAATGTGTGCATGTCGCCTCATCGCTCCACCGACGGTGAAGAGCCAACGTGTGCATGCCGCCGTACCGTCCATGGCGGCACACCCGCGATCTGGATTATGAGTTTGGGGGCCCTTCGGGGTCTCGCGGCGTGTGGGGGTGAGAGCTCTGGAGGTGTCAAGGTTCCCGGGCCTCACAGGGCTCATGGGGCACCATGAGGCACCATAGTGGTCGTAGGGTTTCTGGGGGCGAGAGGCCTCATATGGCTGATAGGGGCATGGCCTCTCGGGGCTCTCGTGGGGCTCCGGTCCTCTCGTTGGCCTCTTGGGGCCTCGTTGGGGCCTCTTCGGGCCTCTTGGGGGGGTCTTGGGGCCATCGTGGTGCGGGGGGCTCGAGATGTCAGTTCGTGTTCCCCATTTTGGGCTTGTCTTGGGCCCTGCTTGGAGGCTCTTGGGCCCTCTTTGGGCGATCTTGGGTGCCTCTTGGGCCGTCTTGGACGCTCTGAAAACCAAAAACCGCTGTAATGTTAAACTCACACAAAGACCATCTGCAGTTTGGCGATTTAGGTATCTTGGGCTGGTCTCCAAGACGGACGGTCCCCAGGGCCATCTGAGCCACGTTGGACATGCATGTCCCAAATTACGCTTTTCTTGCCTCCGGAAGAGTCACGTGGCCGACCCCCGACACGCGGGAGCGATGGGGAGTTCCCGAACTCGCGGCCGTGGGCCTTTTTGAAGCAGGTCTGCAATATTCAATACAAAGGATTCGATGGGACCTGATGGCGCTCCACTTCGTGCCTCAAGGTACGGTGGCAGATAATGACTACATATTTATGTATACATATACGTTCTTATCGAATGGCTTTCGGCCCATCCCGCCACCGCGCCTGAGTTGTGGATCAGAGTTCTCAGGGATGCTTCTTCGCGTCTCTTCGGAAAGCTCCTGGGGGCTTCTTGGGAGCAGTTTGTGGGCGTCTTGGGAGCCTCTTAGGGGCCTCTTGGGGGCCTTTCAGGGGCCTCTCGAGGGCCTCTCGGGGGCCTCTCGGGGGCCTCTTAGGGGCCTCTTGGGGTCCCCTCGGGGCCGAGGGCTCGAAATGTCCGTTCGGGTTCCCCATCTGGACCCCCTGTTGGTGCCATTTTTGGGCTATCTTGGGCCGTCTTGGTCTTGGGACGTTCGTTGGGGCCTCGTGGCCGTCTTGGAGCGTCGGGAAACCGAAAGGCGCGAACGCTGAAACCCTTCAAAACCAAAGGGAAATCCATAATGATTGCCTCTTGGGGGCCTCGTGGGGGTGCTGCTGGAGGCCTCTGGGGCCGTCTTGGAGGTGTCTGGGGCCGTCTAGAGGCTGTTGACATCGTATTTGATCTATGTTTCGGCAAGTCGGGGCTCTCTTGGACCGTTGTGGGCGGGCACAGCGTCCAGAGGACTTGCAGGAAACACCCCAGGACTCACGGTAGGCAGCCCTGGAAACCCTGGGACGCCCCAGGACGGCCTGGGAAACGGCTGGTGCGGGCCCTGAAAGACTTACAATTCTGGTTTCAGCAGCAGCAGCAGCAGCAGCAGCAGCAGCACAGCCTTTACCTTTCAGTGTTCAGTGTTGCATGAACCTTGGGGC